TGGACAGGAGCTCGGCAATCTCGATGGTGAGGCGTTCGATGTCCTCCATCAACGGCACGGCGTATTTCGGCTTCCCGTTCGTGTTGAACCACATTGTCCATACAGCCGCGACCGTCTGCATGTCTTCGAGCGTGTCCTTGTGCTGAACCAGCAGACTGAAATCGCAGGTGTCTCCATCCTCCTGCGAATCGATCTCCACATATTGGCTGGCCATCTCAGGTAGGATGTATGTTCCGATGCACAGGTCGTGAACTCGCAAGGGCCTCTGCAAACACGGCTGCGGGTGGGTGAATGGAGAAGAGGATGGGCTTATGAGGCCCCCAAGTTTGTTTCCAGGGGGCTTTTGAGAGTGCCCTTGCAAGATCCCGAACAACATCCCTGAGGTTAACTGCCCACACCCCAGGCACGATTGAGACGTTCGCAAGCTGGAGGAGCCGCATGGGCTCAAGTAGATGGGTGGAGAGGTGGCAGCAACAGTATAATGGTGGCCTCGAGACTCTTCCGAGGCCGTTCGACTCCCCAATACACCAAAAGTTCTGAAGAGACTCGGCTCCGCCAAGACCTGCAGACGCCCAAGACATAATGGCACCCCGCCAAGGATTGAAGTGCAACTTGCCTTGAGCTCGGGGGCCCAGCGGAGGAAGTGGAAGAGAAGTCAGGAACTTCGGGGCCACGGCTGGACGCGATGATGATGATGTTGCTGCTGATGATGACGATACTGATGATGATGATGATGATGATGATGATGATGATGATGATGATGATGAAGGTGGTGGTGGTGATGATGATGATGATGATGCTGATAATGATGATGGTGATGGTGGTGGTGATGATGATGATGCTGATGATGATGATGCTGATGCTGATGGTGATGATGATGATGATGACGATGGTGTTGCTGATGATGATCACCTCATCTTCTCCTTTCGGCCTCCCGTCTGCCTCACCGAGCCCCACCACTCCCACCCTCTCCCCTCTTCACGCTACCTACTGCTCTTCACACACTTTCATACTCTTTGCGATGTTTCACCCCCAATGTCCATGCTGGTGGTGAAGGTGACGATGCTGATGATGTTTTTTTTTGCAGAGCGCACCCCGCGCCCGCGCCAGACGCACACCTCTGTCAGAGGTGAACGGGTGTCTACACATCCTGGAGCTCGCTGTGTGCACCAGCAGCCCTCTCTGCCCGCAGCTCAGCGGTCTTCGCCTGGCCCGCCCTCGACGCCATCTTCTTGGCGTACTCGCTGTTCTTGTCGTAGCCCAGCAACGCTAGGCGACGCTTCTCAGCAGCCCAAGCCCTGCTGTGCATCTTGTTGAGGTACTTATCCCACTCCGTCTTCACGGAGCTCCCGTCGGCCTTGCCGGCCTTGGCCTTGCTGGCTTTGGCCTTGCTGGCCTTGGCCTTGTTGGCCTTGGCCTTGCCCTTGCTGGCTTTGGCTGTCCCCAGGGTCTTGCCCTCCACCTGCACCTGCACGACCTTCGTGCCAGCCAAAGTCGATTCGCCAGCTTTGAAGGCCTTGTTGAGCTTACTCCACTCCTTGGCTGACATGCCCTGCGCGTCGGTGTCAGCGAGAGCCTCCATCTCGCTCAGCTTGAGGTCGCCCTCAGCGTGTACTCCCGACATATGCGGCGTGTGCTGCGTGATGGGGTCCTCTGTGACCGTGATGGTGGCCGTGCTGGTCGTCGTCATGTAAACGTCACGGTAGAGATCAGTATCGGCCATGTTGGTCTTCTTTTTCAGCCGTCTCAGTGGGAGGCATTGGAGAAGGCGGCGCAGCTCAGGATTGTCTCTTCCGACGTCGAGCTTCGCGTCATTCGTCTCGGACTCCGCGTCTGACCCCAGCAAGTCGACCACAGGCGCAATGACCCGACGCGGTGATACCATCTGGACGTCGTCGTCGTCGTCGTTGGCGTCGTCCTTGCGATCCGTGCCGAGCTTCGGCTTGCGAATGTTGACGATGAGCTTGTCCCAAATCGTCTGGAACTTGTGAGCCCACATCTTCGGGAGCGTCCGATCAGGATTCGACTTGTGGTTCGCGATCTGGGAGATGATGCCTCTGTACGTGTAGAATGCCTTTTCCGCAACCTCGGAACTCAACTCAACGCCCGACGAGGCTGCCCAACTCTTGATGCCAGCCATCATGTTGAGCTGGTGGATGTTCAGGCCGTTGCTGTACTCGAGGAGATGGTTGATCGAGTCAGCGAACTTGGACGCCTTCTCCCACGATGGCGCCCTCTTGAAATCTAGGGAATGAGCATACGGCATGAAATTCTTCGGCTGCATCGCACTCGAGGGTATCATCTCGAGAGATTCCACGATCTTCTCGATGGGTATTTCGGTTGACTGCCGACGGGCCCCGTCTGTCATTGTTGGTCAGTGCGGGCGAGAGGCCTCTCTTCCTAAAAGCTTGAGCCAAAATGGCTACGGACGTGTTCGCAGCCTGCCTGCAAGCGCGCGAAGCGCCAACAGGACAGACCGTCATGCCAGGCTGCGGCCATTCTCATGTTCTTTTGTTTGTTTGTTTGTTTGTTGTTTTGTTTTTCGCCCAGGAAACGTTTTTTCTTGTCTGTTTGTGTGTTTGTTCTCATGTCGAGGCTGCTGACCTTGCCCAGGAAACGTTTTTTTGTCTGTCTGTTTGTTTGTTATCATGTCGAGGCTGCTGACCTCGCCCAGGAAACGTTGTTTGTTTGTTTGTTTTGTCTGTTCCCCCGATCAATATTGACGAAGACCAAGGGAAGGTAGCCTCAGAGCGAACGGGCCAATCAACAGGCAATAGCTTACAGACAGGAGGAACCGCCCTGCATCCGTGAAACTGCTTCCAAGACAGACGCCATAACCACGTTCAGTCCGCCGACCCCTACGGGGTGCCTGCCAATGCGTGCGCTTCCATCTGTTCTTTCTCCTTTTGTTGCTGCGCTGGTTTCTTGCCACGGTCTCGTCTTCGCTTTCGTCGTTGTCGTTCTCCTCTGCCTCCTCCTAGTCCTCCTTTTCCTCCTCGTCCCCTCCTTTCCCCTCCTCCTCCTCTTCCTCCTCTCCTTCTCCTCCTCCTCCTCTTCCTCCTTCTCCTCCTCTTCCTCATTTTCCTTCCCCTCCTCCTCTTTGTCTTCCTCCTCCTGCTCCTCCTCATCATCATCTTTCTCGTTCTCCTCTTCTTCTTTTCCACCTCCTCTTCTTTCTCCTCATCCAGATCCCGCTTCCCTTCCTCCTTGTCCTTATTCTCCTCCTCCTCCTCCTCCTCCTCCTCCTCCTACCCCTCCCCCTTTTCTCATCTTCCTCATCCGCCTCCTCCCAATCCTCCTCGTCCCGTCCTCGGGCCCTACAAGACATCCATAACCTCGCCACTGCGCGTAGGTTGATGCGTGTATGAGGCACGCTCGCATGATAACGCAAGCGCAAGAACGACAGAGCACAGGCACCCGAGCGCACATCTGCAAAAGCAGCCGTCCATTTGGATCCCAAAGAAAAAGGCGTCAGGGAGACAAAAACCAAAATCATCGCCGAATGCTTGAATTTTGGGGGGGGGCGTCTGTTTTTTGGTTACATTTTTAATGATAATGGTCGCATGCGACCAATATCCCAAGAAATCCACCCTAATTTTCTAACTCGGCGTGAATTTAAAGGCGCCGCTCCTGTTTCTTGGTCGACTTGGAAGGTCGGGGTGGGCGTCTGGGCGTCCGGGCGTCCGGGCGCCCCGGAGCCCGGGCGTCCGGGCGCCTGCCGGTGCTCGGGCGTGCGGGCGGTTCGCGCGTCCGGGCGTCCGGGCGCGGGCGCCCTGGGCGCTCCCAGCAGCGTCGGGGCGTTTCCCGGGCGCCTGGGCGTCCGGGCGTCCGCGGGCGTTCCCGGCGCTTCTGGCGCCCGGGCGTCTGTGCGCCCGGGCGCGGGCGTTCCCGGCGCTTCTGGCGCCCGCGCGTCCGGGCGCCCGGGCGCTTAGGTGCCCGGGCGTCTGGGCGTTTCAGGCGCGCGGGCGTCTGGGCGCGCCCGGGCGCCCGGGCGCCCGGGCGCCCAGGCGTCTGGGCGGTTCGCGCGCCCAGACGCCCTCGGAGTCCGGGCGCCCCGGTGTCCGGGCGTGTGGGCGCCTGGGCGCCCGGGCGCCCGCGCGTCTGGGCGCTGCGTCCGGGCGCCCGGGCGTCCGGGCGTCCGGGCGCCCGGGCGTCTGCGCGGTTCGCTCGTCCGGGCGCCCGCGGGCGTCCGCGTGCCCGGGCGCCCGGGCGTCTGGGCGTCTGGGCGTCTGGGCGTCCGGGCGTCCGGGCGCCTGGGCGCTAGCACCCAGCGTCGGGGCGTTTCCTGGGCGTGGCCCGCCAGGCGCCCGGGCGCCCGGCCCCGGGCGTCCAGCCCCGGCTCGGGCGTCCGGGCGTTTTGGCGCCCAGGGCATTCGTGCGCCAGGGATTCAGGCGCCCAGGCGTCCGGGCGCCCGGGCGTCCGGGCGTCTGGGCGTCCGGTCGCGGGCGCCCTGGGCGGGCGGTTCTGTCGCAGGGCCTGGGCCTGGCCAGCCGGGCGCCCGGGCGTCCGGGCGTCCGGGCGCCCGGGCGTCCGGGCGTCCGGGCGCCCGGGCGTCCGGGCGTCCAGGCGCCAAGCCGGGCCTTGGTAAAATTGCGCCATCCCTTCCTGCCCACAGTTCTTTCTGCACGAGAGGAGGAGGAGGAGGAGGAGGAGGAGGAGGAGGAGGAGGAGGAGGAGGAGGACGAGGAGGAGGAGGAGGAGGAGAGGACGAGGAGGGGGAGGCGGAGGAGGAGGAGGAGGGGGAGGAGGAGATGCATGAGAGGATTGAGTCCGGAGGAGTGGGAGGGGAGAAGGAGGAGATGGATGAGAGGAATTGTGCGGGAGGAGTGGCAGGGGAGGAGGGGGGCAGCAGGAAGAACGACAGGAGGAGGAGGAGGAGGAGGAGGAGGAGGAGGAGGAAATGGATGAGGGGATTGATGCGGGAGGAGTGGCAGAGCAGGGGGGGGCAGGAAGGTGGGCTTGGCTCCTGGCCACTCTCGCAGCGCGCCCGCGCGCGCAGGCAGACGGAGAAGGGGGAGAGGGGCGTGCCCCTCGGCAGCGCCCGGGTGCCGGTCGGGAGGTCACGAACCTGCTCTCGATGGCCGTCCGTCTTGAGCTTTCCGTCCTCGCCGCCCTCCCGTCGTCCTCTTCGTGTCTCTCCTGCTTCGCCCTCCTCGTGTCTCCCTTCTCTCTCCTCAGTTCCTCCTCCTTCATCCTTCGGGCTTCCCCCATCCACCGTCCCTGCCCCCAGCCTCCTCGCCACTCCCCCCAGCCGGAGCAGAAGAAGACAAGCAAGCAACGTGACGGACAGCGATTTCGGAGATGTGGCAGGCCTGGCAGGCCAGGGAGGTGCATTATGAGGTGGCGCGGAGGTCGTGCGTGACGAGGTCTCATCGGTGCTTTCTTCTACACGCCGGTCCTTGAAAGTACTCCAGGTCTCTCAGTAAGCGGGGTGGGGGTGGATCGCGTGGGGGGGTTGGAAACCGCTGTCCTTCGGGGGGCGTGGGGAGGTTGGGGAGAGAGAGGGGGTGGGTTTAGGGCGCGTGGGGAGGCGGGTAAGGGGCGTCGGACAGGTTGGCACGGGGGGGGTGCTTATTGAAAGATCTGTCAGTCAGTCAGTTAGCCGTGCGTCCAGTAGGTCGCGTTGGCACAAGCCTGAGACACGCCAAACACGCGCCTGAGCAGCCGTGCGACACGCCAAACACGTGCAAAGGACGATTGTGGTCAGACCTGAGACACGCCAAACACGTGCGCAAGCAGGCGGGCGACACCAAACACGTGCAGGTGCAGCGCAGACGCGCCACACGCGCGCGGGGAGGAAGGGGGAAGAGGGAGATGATTACGATGACAAAGAACATGATTCACAAAGATTGCGTTCGTTCAAAAACTTCTTTGACCCATTGCTGTCCTGGACGGCCTCCCCGTCGGCGGGCCCATCTTTTCGGTGCGCCATTGTTTTCGCAAAGTATTTGCTTGACCAAAGATTCGTTACTATGTGAAGCTATATTATTGTATAAATTCCCCTGCCGTCCAAGCAAAACGTCAGAAAGTGGAATGTCACCGGCGTTGCTCAAGACGTCCACGTTCCTGACCCTTGATATGTACGAGCGCGGTATTCCCAATATTCTGCGTACAGCGGAAATCATCTAATCGTTTTCTGTCCGCTTTCAACAACCATGCATAATCCCAAGAATACAACACCGGATTTTCCCAATGGAAGCGTGGCTCCATAACTTGTCCAACTGTTTGAACACTTTGCTTGATTCCCCCAATATGCGTGTAAGGTCCACGCTTACTTTACCATCGCATGTGATGAGGCCACCGAGATATTTCGCGACCCTTGTAGTTTCGATCGCCTCCCCAGTTGGTTGCGTTATTGTCTCATCTGTGGATATGTGCATCTGTACTGTCTTTCCCAATTCAGTTCTGTATCATAGTTTTTACCTTCGTCCACAATTGCGGCCAAGATGGATTACATGTTGTGCTTGTGCTGGGATACCACAGCTGTGTCGTCTGCATGGAGGGTGTCGCGCGTCACGACATAGGGGGGTTCCAGGGCCAGCCCGGCGTCTGTAAACACATCGTTTAGCATCACAGACTGCATTGCTATGAACAAGTATGGAGCGAGCGGACAGCCTTGTGCTATCCCCGCACGTTGCCGCCTTTCAGAAGAGTTCCCAGGGTGGTCACAATGGTGAAGTAGATTGCAGCATGAATGGACTGAATCCTATCCACCATTTCCACTGGAAGCCCGAAGCGTCGCAGAGCTGCGCGCAGTCTACTTCAAGCGCCTTCCTACTTCAAGAGTCGACATGCTTTTGCAGTGTGCCTGCTCTTCTCTGGCAGGGCCTGAGCCCAATCTACTTTATCGGCCTTCCTACTTAATGTTTGTTGTGTATCTACTTCTTCCAACCGATGTGTATCGAACGATCTCGGAGGATGCGTTTTGTGGCCAAGGCGTGGTGTGCTCGTGGGCTGTTCTCCTTGTGGCGGCGGGGTCGGGGGGGCTGTAGGTCGCAGGGTTGCTGGTGTGGGGGATGCACCTGTTGCCTCATCCTCTTCCAGTACTGCGACACCACCTCCCTCCCTCCTCGCCCTGATGGTGGAGGGATGCAGGAGGGGGGAGGAGGCGGGAAAAGGAACATTGGCTATATCCTTCGCGGCAATCGTCCCTCCCTCCCCCTGTTCAACCCACACGTGGAGGTGACACGCGACCCTTTTTCGTAAGCACTCCAGCCTGGTACGCCAGCGTCTGCGCGTCCCCCGGCATGGCGTCCATCAATGCGTCGGCATGGAAGGGAGGGCGCGCTCGACTGGCGTGCATCTCTCTCCCGCCTCGCTCGCACCCGCGAGCGCAGTGAACGCCGGCTCGGTCTTCGGCTGGTTCCTGCGATGCGTGCCTCCTTCGGAGCCCGCGGCGGCATGCCTGCAGCTGCAGGCGGTCGCGCCGCTGGCCGCGACGAGATCGAGGCTCTCGCGGTCGCGGAGGCCAGCCCCAGAGGGACCACGGCGGCCTTGGAGCCCTGCGGGCAGGCGGGTCTTGCCGGCACCCTCCGCCCAGGCCCCTCCTCCTCCTCCTCTTCTTTCCTCCTCCTCCTCCTCCCTCCTCCTCCTCCTCTTCCTCCTCCTCCTCCTCCGCCTCCGCCTCCGCCTCCTCCCTCCTCTCTCCTCCCCCCTCCCTCCTCCCTCCTCCCTCCTCCCTTCTCCCTCCTCCCTCCTCCTCCTCTTGCTTCGTGTCCCAGTGCGAAGCCACCATGCGCACCCCGCAACAAGCCCGTGTTGTGAGTCTGAACAGAATGAGCTGATGGTGTGCCTTGCGTGGGCAGGACTACTCCGGGGAGGCCGTGTTCGCGACCGCCACCGCTCGCAGTATAGTGGACGGTCATCGGGTTACGCTCGCGAGCGCAATAATTTCAACAAACCATGTACACCGTGCTTCCGGCGGAGGCCCCGCGTGCGGCTCGCACGACTCGAGGCTGTGTTGGAACGGGTGGTAGTGGTGATCGGCTGGTCTGGAGGTCTTCAGCTTTGAGCCTGTGCTGCCCCTCCCCTCCCATTAGATGCCCGTCCCCCACCCCCCGAGCCCCTCCCGCCAATCACTGCCACAGCAGGAAGAGGGAGACGAGGGAAAGGCGGCGGGGAGGAGGAGGAGGAGGACGAGGAGGAGGAGGAGGAGGAGGAGGAGGAGAAGGAGGGGGAGTAGGAGGAGGAGGTGGAGGTGGGCGACGGGGAAGAGGTGGAGCATCCCCTCCTCCCTCTGCATCTGGCCTCCCCGCCGCGCAACATTGGTGGCGGCACTGAGGGACGACGCTGCGAGCGGGGACAGCCGAGACACGCAGGAGAGGCTGATGGACCAGGTGTCTGCCAGTCGCCGTCGAAGTCGCCGTCCTCATCCTCATCTTCGTCACCTTCCCCTTCCTCCTTCTCAGCCTCCTCCGCCCCGTCCTCATGAAGAAATCGAGTGGATGAATAGACATTCGACCCAGACTGCCCCATCTGTGGTGGGCGTGCTCAGTTTGTCATGGCATCACTGGTGACATAAAGTGCAGAAAGAAGGAAGAGGCGGAGTGTGACAGAGATGATGATGAGGAGGAGGAGCAGGAAGAGGGGGAACAGGCAGGCGTAGGGATTGGGAGGGGATGGATGCGGACGGGAAGGAGAAGGACGGGGTGAGGACGGCTAGGAGGAGGAATTCCAGCAGATTGTAAACACTGTTGGAAATTCTCGAGATCTGCGCAAATTCCGCAGGCGCGTCTAAGGTGAAATATTCGCGTCGATGAGCCCAGCGAGACACCAGACATGCAATCAGCACAATATCTGACCAGCATTGCCAGCGTGGACTCCATACCAAAGGTTCTTGTACACTCGATGTGCAGTGTGTGTGTGAGAGAGAGTTGCAACCTGCGTGGGGCATCCTAGGGCACTGCACACCGCGCACGACGGGGACGTGGAAATAAACTATGCAGACATCATTGAGCACTCGCCATGAGGTATTTCAAGTCGCCACTTGAGGAACCACAGTGCGTGCGCCATAACGCTGCACCCATGTAGCGCCCATGCGCACATGGTAAAAGGACAACAGCTGCGGCCTCGAGGCGCACATGATAGGAGATGGTGCGCCACACATCGGACACCAGGGCGGAATCGACACATCGCAACACTATACGCATCACATGGCACTTGTTACGGGGCCACATCCATAAGGCAGCCGGAGCTACCTGTTGCAATACCTAAGGCATCTACAGAGTACCAGCTATCAAGTACCACCCAGAAAGCACCACGGCAACGACACGCAACCGCCACCATTAAAGCACCACAGGGCACCAGCCATACAGCACCACCCGTGGAACCACGGCAACAGCGCGACATCGTAGTCATTAGCGTGCCAGAGGGTGTTGACCATGGAGCACCGCTCACAGAGCGTTCAGACAAGAGCGAGGCCTCACAGGGCACTTGCCATAGACATCCAGCTATGCAGCCTTCGTGTAAACTCGAGGTGTGGCAGTCAAGAGTGCATCATCTGCACCCAGCCAGAGGATGTCGCCCATGCAGCGCCACCTGTGAAGGTCCATCGCGTGGGACGTTGAAGCCATTTGGACATCGTGTGGCACCAGCCATCCACTGTCACCCCAGAAGCACGGACGCAATGCCACCGATACGTCGCAGCCAAGGACGCACCGCTGTAGTCCAGCTACCACGCACCACCAATAAGGAGATACGGCAATCCAACGACAATTCGCAGCCATTGGGACATCGTGCAGGACCTACGGTAGATCACAGCCAGGAGAGTACCACGGCAATACATGTACCCGCAACCATTCAGGCATTGCAGTGAAGGCGCGCATCAAGAATCCAGACGCTTTTCGTCAGGGCACCCTGGGTTTCTTCGCTCTGCGCGCTGCGCGGTGAATTCCCGTGGCTGTCCAGGGAGCTGATGCGTTCAAGGTGCCCCAGAGCTTGCCCTCTTGTGCAACCCCCGCGCGGGTTTTCAGGCCTGGGTTTCTTGTGATGGTATCTTGCAGCCGCGTCCGCTCTGCATAGAGCACCAGCCGCGGAGCGCCACCCATGGCACCACTGCAATGGCGAGGCGCCACCGCACCACCACGTGGCGCCAGCCATCTGTAACTCCAGCCGTAGGGCACCAAGGCGAGAATGAGACGTCGTGGTCACTTTGGCATACAGTGCAAACCCAGATCAAGGAGCACCCTGCTTGCCTCCAGGGAGCCCTGGATGTTTCTTGGGTGTCGATGGTTTTGCTATGGGAAGCATAACGTTCCCACACCAAAAACCAGTGGACGTCCTGGGGTCTGGGGGGTGAGTTTCTTGTGGAAGGTGTATTGTGGTCGAGCTCCTAATGCAATCAGCGTTTTGCCATGGAGCGCAACTAGTGGAGGATCACCGGCACTATTGAGTACTGGGGGCCATGATGGCATCACCAGGCAACGCGCCGCTGTATCCAGGCGATAACGACGATTCCTGACGCGTCGCGCGTCGCCACTGGCCCATCTAGAGAAAACCATGCCATCGTGAGTTACCTTGATCAGGGCAGTTTAGCAGCAATCAGCGGAACAAAGAGGGGGTGGAAACGTTCAAATTGAAGTTTTCGATTAGCCTGGGCAGATTTGGGAGTCTATAGGTGCCTTCGTGATCCTCTCGGGTAATTAAGGAGGAGGGGGAGGCGACGAAGGATGAGGCGAAAGCTGGAGGAAAAGGAGGAGCAGGAGGAAGCAGAGGGACGAATGAGGACGGAGGAGGACCTACGTGGGATGAGGAGAAAGAGGGGGAATTCAAGGAACAGGAAGAGGAGGATATGGGAAAGGACGAGGAGGAGGATGAGAAGGGGGGGGGGAATACGGCGACAGCGACTCTGGTTCACCTCACAAATCGTTTGCTCTGTGAGCCCTGTTGGAGCCATCTTCGAGCCTTCCTGGGTGGTAGTTTGAGAGCCTTTACGCCGCTCTCGGGGCTCTCTCGGGGCCTTCTGGCGGGGCAGGTTCCTCAGGCAGTGATGGTGGACATCGAGCAGCCAAGAAGCCTCGCCCCTCTGACGCCCAAACTATTGCATCTCGTCGCTTCCTTGCAGCGCTCACGGGGAAGTCTTCACCTTTGCTGGGCCCCCCTTTGGTCGGGGGCGGACAGACCTCCTACCCTTTTCCGTTTTCGGTTCTCGAGAGGGCACCGCGGCCATCATTTTCCAGGTTTGCGCCCGCCAGGTTTGGGCCCGAGGTCGTTGTCACTAAACCACGCTTTGCAAAAGGGAGGTCTGTCCATCCCCGAACGCTTGCGGCTCATGACACCCCTTTCTCCCCTCGATCTCGTCCGCCTCGTCCTTCGCCTCGTCCTCCTCCCGCTCGTCGTCCTCGTTCTGGCCCTGGTCCTCCTCTTTGGTGCTCTCTCCCCGATTTGGTTTTCTCTTGGGCGCCTTTTGGTCCTTGTCTTTGGTGCTCTCTGGGAGGTCTGTCCGTCCCCGATTTGGTGCCCTCCTGGAGACGATCGTGGGGGCCTCCCGCGTTCTCGGACGCTCCTCTCAGAGGCGACCTGGCGAGACCGCACGGCTCATCGGTTTCCGTTGAGGCGATGGCAGAGAGGAGGAAGAGGGAGAGGAGGAGGGAGGAGGAGGAGTGGAGGAGGAGGAGGAGGAGGAGGAGGAGGAGGAGGTGGAGGAGGAGGAGGAGGGAGGGAGGAGGAGGAGGGAGGAGGAGGAGGAGGAGGAGGCAGGGAGGAGGAGGCGGAGGGAGGAGGAGGGAGGAGGTGGAGGAGGGAGGAGGAGGAGGAGGGAGGAGGGAGGAGGGAGGAGGCAGGGAGGAGGAGGAGGGAGGGAGGAGGCAGGAGGAGGCAGGGAGGAGGAGTAGGTCTCGTGGGTCTCGTTGGGACGCCCCGTGGCCGCTTGGATCCGCCTTGGAGCGGGCGGGGGGCAGTTTGGACACGCTGCGCCACCTTGGGACAACCCTGCGCGATGCTGCAAGCCGACTCGGGCTAAGGTAGGTTCGCGCGGCGTTGGCGCGCAGGCGACGCCGGCGAAGCGTTCAGGGTTGAATTCGACAACGCGGAGGCACCGATGTACATGTTGACGCCACTGAGACCCGACTGAATTCAATCCTTGAACGATCGGGGCCGCGATCGATTCAAGGTTGGACGATCGACGCGGTGTCAAACTCCTTTGCGCGCGCCGACGCCGCACAAACCTACCGTGCCTGAAGCCGCAAAGCAATGCTGGCCCCAGACGCCTCCCACGCGCGATCCGGAGATGCCACAACTCTTGGAACACACGCACACACACAGTTTTTTGGCGGCAGCGCGCGGCCACGAGGCGGAGACAGTCAGAGCACGAAGCGCAGAGCTTCGGCCCAGCCTTCAGGAATCTTTTTGGGTCCCGCTGTACCTGCCGTCATGCAGCACGTCCGGGCGTGGATGGCCAGGGGGGTGGCACGCCAGCCAGAAAGGCCCTGCCCGACGTGGCTGAGCATGTGAAGGAGGAGGGGCGCGATACAGTGGGGGCCCATGCCACGAAACACCCTGCTTGTCTCCAAGGTGCCCTGGGTTTCTTGGGTTTCGACAGTTTTGCTGTGGAAAGCGTGACAGTTTTGCTGTGGGCTGGAGGGGTTGTTTTGGTGCCTTCTTTGCGTTCTGCTGCCCTTTCAGGCTCCCTCCAGGTAGTTTGTGACCACTCTGTAGGTCCCGGTGGGCGCAACCGATTCTCGGTCGGCGTACTTGCCATGGCAGGCGGCGGGGAGCAGCAACGTTCTAGGGGAGGTCTTCGTGACGATGTTCGTTATGAGGGTCCACGGGAACGTCGTAGCAGAAACCGTAGCCACCATAGGGCACGGACGCGGGACACGGGCACGAGCCACCATAGGGCTCGGGACATGGAGCGGACCCCTGCCCATCATAGGGCCAGCGGCCGCTCCAGGAGCCACCATAGGGTTTCTGAAGGCCCGTTGTGTCCGCAATGCGGTATCCGTGGTCATCTTGCTTGTGATTGTCCGTCGGCGGCGAGTCCAGCAACCACACCAAAATCGTCCTCCGCAGCGCACGTGCCGCTCCTCCTCACGCCGAGGCAGCATCAGCGCCGTGATCTCCCGCAACCACCACCTCGCCCACACCCAGGTGTCACGCAGTTAAGATGCTGAAATAAGGACAACTTTGGGCTCGGGAGTGGCTCTGGATTTTGGGCCGTTCCTTTTTTGGGGGGCTTCGTCGGGATTGTGCACCCCGCGGGAAGGGAGAGGGGGGGAACGGGAAACTTCATCGCCTTCAGTTCAAATCCCCACGAACCTCGGGCAGTACGTGCGGCCCGGGGGGAGGCGGACCGCTCACCCATCCCACCACCATACGGGGGATGTGAAGACCCTGTGAG